TGCCCCCCTCCCCCAGCCCCCGACACACTGCCTTCCGCTGCAGACTGTGGTCTCCAGTCTCCAGGCCTCGGTCTCTATAGGTGGCTGGTGTAGAACAGCCACAACTGCAAGTGTGAAACTTCACACCAACAGGCTGGGCAGGGGGGGAAGGGGGGAGGAACAGCCTTTGGTGCCTCTGCACTTTATGATGTGACAACAAATTGTCTTTTCAAGTTAAATTAAAAGGGGGGAGGGAACGGGCAGGCCTTTGTAGTCCGGAGCCTGCGGCCTGGGGAGCCAGACACCCCCGCGGCGGCCTCCCTCGGAGAGGGGCGCACCTTAGAAGCGCTGCCCAGAGCCCCCAAACCCGCCCAGGGAGGAGCTGCGGGAGGGCCGGGCACTGAGGCACACCCTCTGAACCTGTGACCTCTGCCGGAGCCAGCCCTGGGCCTGGCAGGCTTCCCGAAGGTGTGTCCAGCATTTACCTCTGCAGTCGGAGGTTAGTCTTTAACTGGCCCTCCAGGTGTTTGCGCGTTGGAGGAGAAAGGAAAGGACAAGTCACCCCTGCGGGAGGCGGGCTCCCAACCCTGCCGGCCCTGCTCCCCACACACGACACAGCCCCCCTGGCGGAGGGCACCCCGCTCACGCGTCATGGGACCGAGAAATGCCAGGCAAACAGCCTCGCCTCAGTCTTGGGCGCACCCTGTGCGAACGAACCCTGAAAATGCTCATTTCCAGAGCTCGGGGACTTGGGGATTGTGGTGAAAAGACGGTGAACCCGGAAATAACCCAAACACCCACCCCCACCCCCACGGGGGCAACGGGCTCCCGGGTACCCGCCATGTGGTCATAGGAATGGCCACCACACTCCTCAACCTCCCGCCCGGCAGGGAGCGTGGGGGCTGACACCAGAACCGCTGTGAGACGCGTAGGAATGGCTGCCACACTCCTCAACCTCCCGCCCGGCGGGGAGCGTGGGGGCTGACACCAGAACCGCTGTGAGCTGTTCTAGGACAATCTCAGCAGACAGGGCAGGGCCTGTGCCCGGGCGGTGGCCGCGCAGGTGTGCACACCTGCAGGAGCGAGCCAGGTTGCACACTCCCGCCCTGGGCCTCAACGGGAAGTGGGGACGTGCTTTAAAAGTGGGCAACTAGCTGGTCCAACAGTCCGTTCCCTCTGGAAGCAGCCGGGCCGCGCCGCCCGGAGGAGCGCTGGGTGAGGGCCAGAGGGGAAACACGCCAGCTTTCTGTCCAGCACGTGCGGTCCTGTCCCGACCACACCGCTGTGCCCCACAGAACAGACACACTGCACACCCAGAGGCCGGCCTCAGCCGACAAAGCTTTATCTACAAACAGGCAGGGCCAGATTTGGCCCCTGGGCCGTAGTTGGCTGCCCAGACGCGCATTCCTGGGACCAGGCAGCTGACACAGCCGAGTCAAGAGGGGGCTCTGGGGCTCCCTCCCGGAGAGGGTCAGCACACCCGGGGCCCAGCCTCTTTGTGCCTCAGTTTCCGCCCCTGGAACATGGAGACGGGAAAGTGCCTCCACCGTTCCCTGCCTCAGGCTGCGCTCCTGGACTCGGCCCTCCTGGCCCCGGCCCTCTGTCACCTGCATGCAAAGGCTCGCCCGGAAATGACCAAAAACTGACTCAACAATGAGTCGAGCGAACTGCTCACCCAGTCTTGGTCTGTCGGGAAGGCAGGGACCCGAGCCACGGGAAGCAGGTGAGATGCTCATGGGTAAACGCCACGTGGCCATCTGGCTGCCACGCCCACCGACCTCCCTGCTCTGTGACGGTGACCCCCAGGCCTCAGTCCATCTCAACAGGGAACCAGCCCTGCCTCCAGCGGACAGCCCGGCCCGCGCAGGCCTCAGGCCCGCACCCACGGTTCCTGAGGAATGACAACAGGAGGCCCCTCCAACACTCCTGGGCTGGACCCTCACACGCGGAGGTCCAGGGACTGGCCCGAGGC